TTTTTTTTTTTTCAGGTGTCCGCTTCATCTCCAAAACCAAGAGTCAACATGTACAAGAGGTCCATGGTGTGATACCCCATTCCTGATGCCAGCTGTTACTGACTGGCCTCACTTTGTACGGTAACTGACATCCTAAACTGTCTGCAGGTTGTCGTGCTAATGTTAGCATGTTAGCATGCTGCTAGTAGCTGCAGTATAGGTTCTTTAGAAAATACTTCTTAGAGTAGAAAATGCCAGTCACACATGTGAACACAGGAAACTGAGATCTTTAAAAACACTATTACTACTGTGCAGCAGAAGAAAGCCAGCCAGCTGCAGCACCAGTGTTTTAACTGGCCAGGTATTATTGTTACCTTATGAGCATATCTCATATATCTCATATTCGCTATTAGCCTGCAAACCTAATATTTGTTTTTAAAGGTTACTACAGCTGTCAGCGGGGTAAATAGTGCAGTACTTCCATCTGAAATACTGCGTGCAGGTCGGTCTAATAGAACTCTAACATGGATTCCTCAGCAACAATAAGTTCACTAAGTTTTTATGCAGGTAATTAACATCATCATTACTTCCTCGTGTTTGTCTGAGTAACATTTGACATGGTTCCTTACTACTGCTGAGAAGAACTGCTGCAAAGAGATAACACAAGATGCTTGTGTGCATGTGAATGAGTCAAAGGTACACAAACATGTGCAAATGAAAAAATGTGTGTGTGCATGTCTGCACCTGCTTCCCTGGGAGGAATCATCTGCTGCAGGATGTCAGTGGCCACCTGTCGGACCGCAGCTGCCAACTGACCGGTTTGCAGGACTGATCTACTGTCTGCACGAGCTCAAGCTGCAGCACCAATATCTATATGAGGAGAAACAGCTGCCTGAGTGGACCATCCCATGGCCCACCGTCTCAGACAGCGTGGACTGACACTCCAAATGAAAGCCGGCTGTGTAAGATATGGAAGCAGCCGGAAACCACTTCTGTGTGCAGAAGTAACAGATTTACAGGGTCTGAAGAAACCTGAGAAACATGGCAGATCTTTATTACACACGTCTCACCGGACAGGAATTAAAATGATACTGAGCAATGCTGCAAAATATTTCTGAGTAACAACAGTTTTGAACATTCAGCCACATTTTTAGCCAGGCAGCAACTTGGCAGCATGAATGGGACTCTGCCAGCCCACATCTTTGGTCCAGATTGAAATATCACAACATCTACCACATGTAGCACCAGAGTTTGTGCAGACACCCGTTGTTCCAATGAATTCTACTGACTTTTTCTCTCGCACCAGCACGAGATCCACATTTGTGGTTTTAATCAAAACGTTTCAACAGCTATTGATTGAATTACCGTAAGATTCACATTCCCTTCAGGAGGAATTGTAACAACTTTAGTGAACCCCTGAACTTTTTCTCAACTTCAGTCATCGGGTCAGAATTTCACCTTGTCCAATACTTTGGTCTGTAAGGAAATGAATATTCAGCTGGACTACTTCACTTTGTTTTGAGCATCACACTCATCCTTTGTAAGTTTACAAGGTTTTAGTTTGCTTCTTTATTGAGCTCACACGAGACCAAAGGACAAATGTAGTGGGAGAAAAAATGCAGAAAATGGAAACTGTCTTCTCTGAAATGGGGGCAGGGTAAAGGAAGAACATTCTGTTAAAATGGGCACAAGCATGTCTCAAAAACTCCAGTATTTCATTAAATGCAGCGGGCATCTCCCTCTAAAGATGTTCTGGATGTGGGTGTTGTTGAGCTGTCGGTAGAGGGCGCTGACAGTCGTGTTTCCTGCGCCTGCAGCTCAGGTGGCCCTCACTAAACACCTCCTGAACTACGCTGTGCAGGCGCTTACTGATGGTTTATGGCTCGCGTTTACAGCCTAAACTGTGCTTTTGTCTAACTATCTCAGTTTGAATCGCTGACTTGTACAGTAGCTCTACATAAAACCTGCAACAGACACATCTTCACTTGGATTATTTAGGAGAATTGTTCATTTCAATGTAGAGAGACAATTTCAATAAGAACTCATTTCATGATGTGAGTGTAGTAAAAAAATAGAAGTACAGGCCTCATGTGTGAGCAAACTTCAATTATGAATCCCATTAGTCGTCCTCTTGCGCCTTCTCCTGCCCCACTTCCCTGATGGGCTCTCAGATGACAAACGTTCCACCCTTGTGGCTTGTAATTGGTCCGCAGAGCTGTCCATCAAGGGGGAGCGCCGGGTTCTGGCTTAGAGCAGCAGAGACGCACCGCTGCTCCTCATCTCTGGTGTTTAGTGCGTCGAGTGGCGGTGAGAAGTGGAGTTTGTGCGTTTTGTGCGTCCGTGGACCAAACAGCAGCAGCAGCGGTTGCGCTTTTCCTCCTCCAGAGCCGCAGGCATCGCGGGAAGCAGCCGCACAGTGCACGCCTCGGACACTAGGACGACAAGGATACTCTTTTCTTCTTTTTTTTCTATTATTTTAACTGATTGACACATAAATATTTAGCGTTTCTCTAATGGTAACCGACACTGAGCAGCCGGAGACATGTGGAATAATCTGGGGACACTGCACCGCTTCTCTCTAGTGTGTCTGCTCCTGACGCTGCGGGCTGAGGTGAGATTCGCCTGTTGGGATGATGATGCTTGTAAATGTGGACTAGTTGTCTGTTAGTTTGGATTTGGCAGCCTTAATTAAATCGACTGTGAGACAGTTGAATCATCTGATCTACATTTGCGCTTCCTTCGTGAGATACGAGAAGTTCAACATTTACAAGCAAATTTAAAACCGTCTGTTGTGTCATGACCAATATTGATGTGTGATAAGACACTAATCAGCTGATTTATCGATATAGTGTTTTTCCATTATCATTGGAGTGTCGGAGCCAATGTAAAGCGCGTTAGTGCGTGTTTGATGCTGACCTAAAAGCCTGAAATATTTGACAGGTTTGCAGTGGAACTTCACCTTAAAAAAATCCCCTGTGCCAGACCGCAACCACATCATCAGTACTTCAATTCTTGGACCAATTATTTTTTGTTTTTCTGTCCCATTTCCACTTCCTTTGAGAAAACTCTGCTTCTGACTCAGACTGGGGGTCTTGCTAAGGTGGAGTGTTTCGCAGTGTACAGCTGCAGCCTGATATGCACAGTGGGCTAAATTGGAGTACCAGGTCGCCTTATCCAGGCTGGAGGTTCAGTAGTACTAGAATGTACAGTCGTGTGGGCTGCAGTGTCCGTGCGCTGCAGTAAGGTTGAAGTAGTGCTTACCCTCCAACCTGGTCATACGAGAAATTTAGGCTTGTTTCCAAAAGAAATGCATCGTTTTCGGCGACATTATCAGTGAATTAACGTCATTGCAGACCTGACCCTAGAGCTTTTACAGTTGTGTTACCACCTCCCGCAGGGTTTTCCCCAGTCTTCTCACTCTTTCATGCTCTCTTCAGGTGTCTCAGTCCACTGGTTACTTCGAGTTGCAGTTGATTTCGGTTGAAAACCCCAAAGGTCAGCTCCTGAACGGCGACTGCTGCGACACAGAGAAGAGCGCGGCGGAGGGCCACTGCGGCGCGGACGAGTGCGACACCTACTTCAGAGTGTGTTTAAAGGAATACCAAACGGACGTCACGACCACTGGACCCTGCATCTACGGCTCGGAAACTACTAAGGTTATCGGTGGGAATACTTTTCACTTCAAAGGCGTCCAGAAAACCGGACAGAATCGGAACAACGACGCCGGGAAGATCATCATCCCCTTTCAGTTCGCATGGCCGGTAAGTGGACAGTGGAAACTTCCTTAACTTTTTGATTTAGTGCTTTTAAAAGTTTGATTTCAGAGGGAATATTATCTAAAGTTGCAGAATATTCGTCTGGCTGTGAGGGCTGCCAACGTTTGTCATTTCATTACACCATAAAACATGTTTTTATCGCAATAATCTTGTGTTGTGTTGTGTCCAGACATTATACACGGGAGTTTGGATGTTTTGGATGTCGGGAATCGTTATTCAGCCTTAAATCTGTCAGCCCAGCTCGTGCAAAGTGCACTCTGACACGTTTTGGCACAGTTTTCTGTAGTCTGACCCTCTGCGTGCCACTCATTCTTTCCTCCCTGTGTGCATTTGGCAACTTTTGGCGTCTTTACACAATCAAATATTTCGCGAGGGACATCACATTCCTCTGCTGGAGCTTATCAGCGAATCCCTGTGTGTTTCTGATCAAGCCAAACCCGTGAACGCGCATGACGCATGACTTTTACGCACAGCGGTGGTGCAGTTGGGTCTTGGTTTGATGAGTTACCAAACAAGCTGCAGTTTGCTCCATGCACTTCAATTAAAGTGCATGGAGTGGAGAGGAGGAGGTGTGGGGCCCTGTTTGAATGGAAAAACAGGCATATTAATCCAGCCTTGATTAAGAAGTGCCAGGTAACTTATTATCTAATCTAAACAGCGCAGCGCAGCCAATCAAAACCTGCTCCCGCTCCTTATTTGGAGAGCCAGCGTGGGAAACAGGACCAGTGCTGGCAATCAGAGCGTTATGAAAACTGCTGTTAGAGCCAGAAATCTGGATCAGGCGCTTTAATGGGGAGGGAGCATCACAAGTTTGAGTCCCACAGCAGCTGAGTGAGCTGTCAAAATAAGAGTCCTCAGTCAATGTAAGTGGAAGATGATAACAGAGAAAAGGGCCATAATCACAGAATATTAGATAACGGATTATTGACTTAAGTCATTACATTGCATGCTGACTCCAGTGCAGCAGTGTGTGATAATGTGCTTCTGTCTCCACATACTGGCACAGTTTTTTGGAAAAAAAATGTATTTAAGTGTGTTTTCAACTTGTTTTAAGAAAATAAGACTTTTAGGACTGAAGAGACAGACTGAAGAAAAAAGACCAGACATCTTGGCTGTAGCTTCTTTTTCTCTGCTTAACATCATCAAGGTTCAAAGATTCTTATTGTCAGTTCACTATATGTGCAGGACATACAGAAAATCGAAATACCGTTTCTCTCTCCCTTTAAACGGTTGCTCAGATAAAGCGAGTAGTTTGAAGGCTTTGGACCTCGGGGACATGTGATGGACATTTATCTTGTTGTGGCATATTACTGACTAACAATGTAAATGATGAATCAAATGAAAATGTTTGCACACATGGAGCAGCAAAACCTTCAGTGACTCTTACAAATCAGAGGAACAAGATGCTGCAGGTCTGCTGAGACCCCGTCCCTGTGTTCATGTCCAGACTTACATATCAGGTGCTTTGTGTGCTTGACCAGCTACGAGACCTCTCCATTCATCACTCCCCGTGGTCAGCTGTCAGCAGAGGGGAAGATGGGAGTAGTAAGCTGGGGCCCTGTGGGCAGATACAGTTACCACTAAGTTGTGTGTGGATATCGGTGTCCCCTAGCACTCAAACAAGTGAAGCTCCGTGGTCAGGCTGGGCCAGGGATGCCTTTACCTCGCCACTTCTCAAATTCACGCTCTGTCCATTATGGGGTCATTGTCTCACTCAGCGTGTGTGGGGTCAGTGTTTTCCACTATCAGCCTGGCAGGTGTGCGTGTGGTTTGGGGGGGGGCATTCAGGAACGAGAGTATCAGTGTTAAGTAAAAGACATAAAGATGTCATTCACATTTTATAATCAGATCTTCTGACATTTCACACTGACTGTCGTGAAGACCAGCGGCACTACAATAAGCTCAGACACGGTACCTGCTGGGGCTTGCAGCTAGAAATGGGCATTACAGTTTCCCAGAACCCAAGGTGATGTCTTCAGACATTTTGTTTTGCCTCAGACTCAAAAGATATTCAGTTCATATTGATATAAAGCAGCGAAAAGCAACAAGTTCTCACATTTAAGAAGCTGCAGGAGAGTTTACTGTAGGACTTGTGTCATTTTTCTTGATTCATGACTAAAATTATCTGTTGAATCGACGACTCATATTTAATGTTGTGCCAACTGTGTGTGCATTTCCTGTTGATCCTGGATTACCTGGATGTTGTATTTTGTGAAAACTGCTAAATCCTCTCGGGTTCATTTAAAATAGAGTTGACTGGCTGATGTTTTGCTTGCTATCATTAAAAGCCAGAGTGAAGTCAGGTGTTTTTATGCTCAGCTTTTAGCGTGGGCGTCCCACAGTACAGTGACGTGGTGGTGCACGCTTTGGACCAGACAGACTCGTCTTCTGAATTTCTGATCCATATGCAGATCTTAACTCAATCACATGGCAACAGCTTATGTAGAAAAAGCAAGTAGTGACTCTGAATTGTCTCGGTAATTTTTCCATGTATCATTAGTAAAAGAAAAAGGTGGCGTTTGCTGAAAATGTAAATTAATAGCTAGGGAAGATTTATTTGTGAGAGGAAACATTTGTTATGTTTCTCCACTTGTTGGAGGGTTTGAAGTGAAGGAAATGACCCGTTAGTGATGGGAATATTTTCTTTTCATGGTTAACGTGTGAGTCACTGCGCTCCCTTTTCCTGCTCGGTTTATGCAGCGATGAACATTGTTCCTAAGACAATCCGCAACTTAAAGTCGACTTGCTGACTCAGCTCAGTTTACAATTTTCTCAGTTGTCATGGAAAATGAAAAAGATATGAACCTAAATCTTGAGCTGGGGTTTTTTTTTTTTTCTCATTCCCCCGAGAATGAATTTTCACCTTCCACATAAACTTTGTCTGGAAGGAAAATTAAATTTTCATCCTGACAACTAAAAATGTTTCAATAAACAATAACAGTCAATCAATCAATCAATGATCTCTTGTGACTGAACTTGACTTTTTCAAGATGTAAAATGGCAGATATCTCACTTGCTTCTTCTGTTAGAAGCCCAGACGTCGACCTGCTCCCTCCACACCTCCCTAGTTTGTACTGTGGCGTACCATTGACCAACAGTGTGTTTTGTATGAGGCGATGACCTGTAGCCTCTGGTGCTGCTCGGCCCCAGTATCTGGGCCACTGGTCCTGATATGAATTAGCTACAGAGAAAAGGACATTGTTCTGCCCTCATGCTAACCCCTCAGGTTGTTTGGGGCTTTAGTGACATCTTTTTCATGAAAAGGAAGAGAAGGGAGCAGGGGAGGGATTGACTGATGGAGCAAAGGAAGGAGGGATGAGGGGGATGACAGGAAGAGGGAGGAAGTAGCCTCCCTGCCTTCAAAATAAAAAAAAACTCCATCTGGCTTCCTTGTGAGGTTTCTATCATGAAGGAAGAGTATTTTCAGGACACAGACACTTTTTACAGTAGTGACTAAAGCAAAAACAAGGATTTACTTCTGCTCCTCACCCAAGCTTTCCCTCGTCTCCCTGTCTCCTTATGGGGTATTTTTAGAGCTGCTGTCCTCCTCTCACCCCTCTGTGAGTAAATCAGGGATCAAGCGTGCGTACTCCTTCAGTTTCATAGCCTGTTTTTTTTTTCTATCTGCCTCGACTCTTGCCAGATTCCCCTTCAGCCTGGCAGACAAGAAAGGACAGAGGTGGAACAGCTGTTGTTCAGAGGCCTCCTCCTCCTCAACTCTTAGAGTAAATGTTTTAGTGAAATTTCATTAGGAAAACAGGCTATGATTACAGCACGCAGCGTGTAAGATCACCTCACTCGTATCGGTGAGCAATCTCAAAGTGCACTGCTAGATGATGGCGAGCTGGTGCTTGTTTTCTTGTTTCTTGATGCCATCTCTGGCCCGGTCGGCTCTGCAGAGTGCATCCTTGGCGCTCACCTGCCGTTCCCTCAGGATTCCTTCTCAGCTTGGTGATGCATTTAGGGTTGACTAGTTTTGGGGAAAGGAGGATGGTGTAACGTGTTTGTGGACGGAGGCTTGCTGTGTTGGGGATGCTGAGTGAGATTAATGCTCTATATCTGGGGTTCAGGGGCGATCCTGCAAAATGTGGAAAGACTGAAACATCCTAGTTTTAGGCCTGCATGTGCACGACAGTTGTGCAACAAAAATGAAATGTGCACTATTTTAAAGACCAGAGAGGGACAGTTCACACAATATATGGTCAACTCCTGCACCAACGAGCACAAGCATGAGCGTGAACTAGTGTGCACTGTTTTCAATACGAGCTTTGGGACAAGGTGGTCGGAGTCAGGCGGCCACCCGGGGCTACAGCAGGTGTGTGTGTGTTGGTTGGAGTGGAGTTTAGTCAGCTGTCATCGCAAAGTATTTTAAATGTTGTGCAGACACACGCTGATTACCCAGCACTGCTGCAGTGCACGGTATGCCAGTGCCAGTTTATTTATATAGCACATTTAAAGCAGCAACAGTCGACAAAGTGCTTTACAAAATAACACACTCTGACAGAATAATGTAACAAAACAATACAGACAATAAAAGAATAAGCAGTAGAACAAGAACAGTAGACCTGCTTAGAAGAATACCAACAGTCCATGTGTGTGGAAAGAGAGGTTTAACGGGCAGTAGCCAGTCAATATAACGTACAAAAATAAAAACCAAATTTAAAAATAGTTATCTAAAACTGTATCACAAAGTAAATACTTGAAACCAGAAGAAACACGTTTAAACAAACAGTGGTACTGTGGGTGATATCATAGCACCAGTTTGTGTGTCAGTACGGTCGAGTCAGAGTGAAGCCTTTTAGCCGGTCTGGACTAAAACGTCTCCTGTATCTGCTGCTTCATAAGTTTTAACCTCGTTGTCCAAGTTGTGACTGATCCAGATCAGTGAGACTTCACCGAGTCTGCTTCAAACATTTGGTAACTTTGGAACATCGCAGCTCCAAAAATGTGTCTCATGAAGCAGATGGGATAATCTGAGACATTGT